ATCGGATTCTCGAGAGTGTATTAAAGAGTCATCAACTTGACAAGATGCAGTCACAAAGTCTTATGCATCAAAAGACGATTTGGTGAGTTAACGGACAAGGAGAGGTTGAATTGCGATTCCAATGAACCATTTGATAGTGAATTCAATTCATGACCCAAGATCTAGGCGCAGAATTAATTTTTGTGTCAGCAATAAACACTGAGGTCTGGGTATACAAAATGGGTATACCAACAGAAGTCCGGTGTCAGTAGAGTAAATGGGTTCACTCGCATATATACATGACAAGGACATTTTCGAATTTCTTTGCTCCCAAGGGCGCCAATGCTTCCAAATTAATAAAAAATGAATCTGTAATAGTATTAGCTCTTAATATAAACATTTAGATAGAGCGCACGTCAATTGAAAGTTTAAAATCCTATTCATCGTGGAATCAAGATTAATTTTGCAGCAAAATATTTATTTAATTTGTGATGTTGAAACTCAAATTATTATCTTGATTCCATGATGAATAAATATTGTAGAACAGCCTACATGGATATAATTAGAGGTTAAGTGGTTTATAAATATTCTTATGTGTAATAACATTTGAGTTCAAATCAGAAAAATGAATCATAATATCAAGGCTGTACTTAAAATCTCATAATTTTCAAACTACACTTGATAATTTTTTCCATGATAGTTACTACCATCTCTATCATCCTGTTTTGGCTTGACGTTGAGCTCTGGGACACCCTGTATTTCATGTAATTTTAACAAAAATATTTGTTAGAAAAAGATCGGCTAGAATTATTCTTCTGAGATGTTGGCTCGTTTCTCAATAGTTTTTGTTTTATAGCAAATTATTACGTTTTAGATTTTTTCTTAAAATGTGCGATATTATTTGATAATAAATATCAAATAATATCGCAAGTTTTGAGAAAAAAACTATAACGTAGTAATTTGCTATAACGTAATATTAGAGAATAAACTTTAAGTTTATTATTTGAAATCATATCGAAATTCTTCTAGTAGTATATAATGATTTTTAAGAAGTTTTATAATAAAGTTAATTTTAAAAGCAACAAATGGTGTGAAAAATAGTGTGAACTAAGTTTTCGTGGTAATTTGTAGATCATATTCTCAGATAACATAAGTGCATAAAGCATAAAGAGTAATCGAATTTGATGCAGATTTTTCCCCCAACTCTCTTACTACTAAATCATAATTTGAGAATTCGTCGTTGAGTCACATTTGTATTCGATTTATGCAATTATCTCATATATTACTTGACGATATTTAGGTACGTGTGAGCGTTGGACGGGACGCACGCGTCCACGTTCTCACGGGCTAATAGAACAAATAATAATAAGTGGGTACCACGGATTGAAAAGAATATTTAATTGTTTTGACTTATGGATATGAACTGTAAACGCTACCTGTTGCAAACAATAGAATTTACCTTAATTTAAAAAATTACCTGAAAATCAAGATTGCCATTAAAGTTCATTATGATACTTCGAAGAAAAATCATAATTGTCCCGATGCATGATTATGAAATGCGTTATAAAGTAACGTTATTTTGGTACTTACAGTGGGAAATGACAATATGATAGAAATCTTGAGATAATGTAATTATTACGTCGTTAAATTTACCGAAATTGTCACTGCTAAAATTCTAATCATAAATTGTCATTTACTGCTCGAAAAGTTGAGCGTATGATAGAAAAATCTATACCAATCCGTAAAGAATTGCAATATATTAATAATTGTTATATATAGCACAATATATATAGGTACTCTACAAAATTAATTTGTTTGATTTACAATAATTATGAATGTATAAAATAATAGCAATCTACAAAATAATATTTTTGTTTGCAAATGGAACAAAAATACAAAATTTAAATTTACATATATAAGTTTTGTTTTGTTTTTAAAGATTTATTTATTTTCATTTATATTAGTTTATACATACGTATTTCTATACAATTTATATACTCATGTATAACTATCCAAAGATATAAATACATAAACTTATATTTAATACTAACGAATAAAAAAGAAAATTTACTTATAAATAAATTTCTAATCATGGAAAAATATCTACGTAGGGAAGGGAATATCTAAGTAAACATATCTAAGTAGGGAAGCTAGATAGGGGCTAGTTGTAACAATTTCTTCTAAATTAATATATCTTGAAATCGACTGATCATATTTATACGTAATAAACCTGGATAGTTGCTGTAACTATTCCTCTATCAAATCAAGTAAAAACTAGCTGTAAGTGGAATTCTGTCTTAAGGCAATTAAGGCATCGTGCCTTAAGGCAAATTGCTGGAACTTCCCGTACCAAAAATTATTATTTTTTTAAAAACGATTGACATTTTTAAAAAAAATTTACTTCGAAAAAATACGATTTTTAAGAAACTATAAATTGGACAAAAAATTACTTTTTTTTGAAAAAAATTTTTTTTAAAAAAAATTTTTTTTTAATTTTTTTTTTTTTTTTTTTTTTGAAAAAAATTTTTTTTTTATTTTGACATATTGTGGAAGATCTGAACTTTCTTTTCAAAGCAATCGTACTGCTTTAACTGCATAGGGGCAAAATATAAAGCGCGTAAGCGCCGCGTCGCTGTCTAACGCATAAGCATTGGTACGGAACCCATAGGAATGTTAACAAAATGTATACTTATTGTTAAAATCTCTATAAAATATCTGATAATTTGATGAGCATATGTCTAATGATCATTTTTGACCGCCAAATGGCTTATTTTTTTACTTTTTCCTCCATATCTCCGAAACCGCTAGAGCTACCTTCATGAAAATTTTATCGATTCTTAACCTTGTCAATACAAGTGAAATGTTTTTTGAATTATTCAAATCGGACGCTCCGTTCTCTCAAAAACTGAGTTACCGTTTTCGGCACTTTTTGCCCCGTATCTTCGGAACGGCTAGACCTTCGCCAAAAACTAATCAGCACGTCTCCTTATCAATACGAATCGAATGTTTTTTGAATTATTCAAATCGGTTGACCCGTGTTCCCGAAATCGTCGACGAAAATTTGTATCCGCACATACATACACACACATACATACATACATACACACACACACACACACACATACACACACACACACACACACATACATCCATTTTTTCTAAGGTATGCCAAAATGTTCAGAAACCTCTGAAACGTAAAGATATATAAAAATTTTCATTTTCGATTTTTTTGCGATTACTATAACTTACCCTACGGGAAGTTAATAATTCCACAAATGTTTCATTATTTTACAATTAATCATTTTCTAAAAAAATACGGTGATGCAACTTACCCCGTGTTTGGGGTTAGTTGTAACGTCTACCTAGGCAAGTAGTAACCACAATAATACTTCTGATGGTTTATTCTTTTCTTATTTTTAAGAAAATTGACTTTTTTTTAAGAAATTCTTTTCATAAATAAACGCAAACTATAATAAATACAAATGAAATATATAATGTCTCCTATAATAAAAATGTTTACAATAAATCAACGTTAAATACAATTATTATAATGATACAAATGATAAATATAGTGTCTTTTGTATTACAATTTACATTTGTTAGACATCTTACAAACTATAAATTAATTTTGGAATTATAAATAAATTTTACCCGATCTCCTTCACTTGAATGTGTATATAATTTTTGTATGTTACAACTAGCCCCAAGGTGTGATTATTTAACATTGATCAAGATAACTATTTAACTTAGTTTTTTTTTGCTCAAGCCTTGTATAAAATTTTGTTCAATTTTCTTTAAAAATTAACACTTTTTTTCATATTTATTGCTAATTTTCGCGAACTTGAAAATATAAGTTTGAAATTATTATAGTATGTTATTACAGTATGTGTGTGTGTGTGTGCGGATACAAATTTTCGTAGACGATTTCGGGAACACGGATCAACCGATTTGAATAAATCAGAAAGCGTAGAAAATAAAAAATTGTTACACAGTATCAAATATGGATAAATAATATTTAAATATTGATCAAAGTATTTTATTTTTATTGATTTATATGGACAACATAACAGTCCATATACATATATGTAATTTAGTACACGCCAATAAAATACTATACTTATATTTATGGGAAAGTAAATAATGTCAAAGATAATAATAAAGATAATTTATGATTGGAAATAAAGAAATTAACAACGTCGTAACTATTAATATTCCAAATCGAAACAGTAAATATCAAATCCAATATATAAATTAATAATTATTACCGAAGTAACTAATAATTGAACGTAATATTAATGTGCAGTTTAAACCTTCGTAATTATCTATCTAATTGAATCTTTTGTGATAGTAGTAAATCGGTTTTGAATTAAATTCCATAATTATTATAAAATTGCATGTTGTGGACTTGCTTTTTTATAGCAAGAACATAAGATTGAAATTAGTTGAGTTAATTAGTTGTTTTTAAAATTGTTTTTACAATTTTTTATTATCTTATAATTATGCTTTTAAATTTATTCAAATTACGTTCACTGAACAATTCTAAATTTAATAGCGAATTACTGTATAGTATTGTATAATATGACTTTATAAACTATACAATTAAATAATTTAATGCTTGTGATGTGCATTAATTTAACTTCTATAAAAATCTATTCTGACTTTGATGAGAAATAAAAAAAGCATTTCTGATGATCTAGACTTCCACTTCTGCAAGAACATAAATTATTTATTTCATTTAGATATATTCCATAATTTATACCTAATGAAGTAAAGCTCTCTCACAACGGAGAACGATTCGTTCATGAAAAGAAATAATTGTGATTAATAACACAAAACATTATAAAGCAATCCCATCCCCTTCTTCAATAATAACGGGGACCCCTTCAATAATAATTCTATTATATTTGTACTGGGATATTTTTTGTTGATAAATTAGAATTAATTAATTGATAAATCAAATATTTAGTAACATTATTAACAATTAGTATAATTATTAATAAATTGATTATTTTCTGTTTTAGCACACCTTAACGGGCCACAGTGGTAAAGTCATGGCAGCTAAATTTTTGGGAGAAGCATCTAGAGTTGTTTCTGGCAGTCATGATAGGACTTTGAAAATTTGGGATCTCAGAAGTAGAGCATGTAAGTACTAAAAAATATAAAATACCTACAAATAAATAAATTTCACTGGTATTGACCAATTCCATGCTTGTAGTAAGAGTTATAATGCGCCTGGTCTGTTTGCCAGGTTATGTATATCTAATATGTAATGTCATTAATAAATCTTAACTTTGCTTGTTTTTGAGATATTGGTGGGAGAACTTTTTACTCGCGGACCTTTAAGCCCCGCTCTACATTATATTATATATTATATTTTTTTATCTATATGTTTTTTCGCTCTAAACCTTGCATAAAATTGTGTTCACTTTTCTTTAAAAATTAGCACTTATTTTTGTCATATTTTTTGCTAATTTTCGTGAACTTGAAAATAAAAGTTTGAAATCATTAATGTGAGAGGTTATTAACTTTCCGTAGGGTAAGTTATAGTAATTGCAAAAAAACGAAAATGAAAAGTTTTATATATCTTTACGTTTCAAAGGTTTCTTAACATTTGAGAAAAAAGCCTTAACACCTTAGAAAAAATTGATGTATGTATGTGTGTGTGTGCGTGTGCGGATTCAAATTTTCTTTGAAGATTTCGGGAACACGGATTAACCGATTTGAATAATTCAGAAAACATTTGATTCGTATTGAAAAGAAGGCGTGCTGATGAGTGTTTTGGCAAAGGCAGGTCTAGCCGTTTCGACGATACGGGACAAAAAGCGCTAAAAATGGTAATTCAATTTTGAGAGGAGGAGCGTCCGATTTGAATAATTTAAAAAACATTATATTTGTATTGATAACATGAAGTATCGTTTAAATGTTTGCGAAAGCAGATCTAGCGGTTTCAAAGATCGGGTGAAAAAAAACTGCGGTGCGGCGCTTACGCGCTTCAATAAATTTCAAAGTATAAAAAAAATTAAAATACAAAAAAAAAACAAATTTTTCATGTCAATTTTTTTGACAGATTTATAAATTGTCAAAAATCTCATTTTTTTCAAAGTTTTTAATAAATTTTAAAGATTTTTTAAAAATTTTAATTTTCGGTACGGAAAGTTCCAGCAATTTGCCTTAAGGCGCGATGCCATGCACCACTAGTTTTAACCCGCCTTGGGTATTTTGCATTCGGCACTTTTCTTATGTAAAGCGTATTGTTTCATATAAGCATAATTGTTGTATATGTCACTAGCTGTACCCATTCACGCTTTACCGTGATTTAGTTTAAATTAAAAAGTTGAGCAAAGATGTGTATTTGTTACATTTAGTTTAACGTTACTACTATCTGTTCAACAATTTGTCTACGAATTTACTTATAAACTTGTTAATCAATCTACCATTTTACCGACTTACCAATTTACCTGTCAACCTATTTACCTATCAAACCGTTTCACATGTCTACCAATTTACCTGTTAACCTGTTTATCCGTCTTGTTATTTGTTTATCTAACAGTTGTGATGTCTACCATTTTACAGATCCTCCAATTTACCTGATCACCAGCTATCCTACAAATTACCTTCTCACCAATTTACTTGTCTACCAATTCACCTGTCTATCAATTTACCTGTCTACCAATTCACCGGTCTATCAATTTACCTGTCTACCAATTTACCTATCGACCTATTCATCAATACACCATTTTACCTGTCAACCAATTTACCTGCTTTTCAATTTACTTGTGATCTCGTTCTAAATGTCTACCAATTTACCTGTCATTCGTTCTCGTTCTACATGTCTATCAATTAACCTGTCAACCTGTTTATTTGTCTCTATATTCGTCTATCTACCAGTTCTCCTCTCTATCATTTTACATATCCTCCAATTTACCTGTCCACCAGTTTACAAATTCTCTATTTCACTTTATTTATTTACGCATATAAATAAATTAAAGCTCGAATTGATTCTACGTTTTAGTTAGAAAACGTTTGTATGTGAAAAAGAAAATAGCTGTTTTTAGGGTTTTTCCGGCAATTATTCGATTTTTTCTCGCCGAAAGAACCATCCTTGGACTTCAACGAACATTTTAAAAAAAGAATTGGCCAAATTGGTCCAGGGGCTGTTGAGTTATGCGCTTACCAATACATTTTGCGGTTCATTTTTATATATAAGATTTACAGATATTTGATGGGTAGTTGGAATTTTATTACCAAGTAATTGCGAAGATTACATTTTAACCTGTACTATTCGAAAACCCGGGCAAATATTGCTTTTAGAAAAACCTGGACACCACGTATGGTTACCTTATTAGTAAGAGCTAGAAAGGCGTGACTATTTCTAGTTCCCATCGAAAATGTAACATATATCCCTTGACATGATTCTTTGGTGTTTTTCAATTTGATTAGAGTGATTGAAACCGTACTTCCGAACAGGTATCCGTATGCGATCATTATCCGTACTGAATTGCCAGTATTAACATAATGTTATGCGAACCTGGACGAGGAAAGACGTTCGTGGTTCTCGGTCAAGGAAATGCACACACCGGTCCCTTATTATGTGAGCCGCGTCTGTCGTCCGAGATAGATTGATGGCATGACATTGGCCATTCGAAAAGGCGATGAAATGAAAAGAAAAAATATATAGTGCACGCACCTTGCATGCATTTCATAGAACACACTATTGCCGTTATTTCCTATATTGTTTGGTCTATTGCTTTTGTGTTGTGTTGAAATTCCTTCATAATTGCTTTTGTTGCATAAGCAGTCGTTTCTATTAATCTAGTAGGTCAAAAACAATTTACTTCATGTTTGTAAGCTGAATAAAATTTGTAACATTTAAACAAAGAATGACAAGGTAATGATGTGATGATTTTATAATACATGCTTCATTTTATTTGAAATATTCAATAAAATTCAATTCAATTTCAATTAAAAAAATATATTTCAGTATATATAATGTATACAAGATAATGGTGGATTGGTATATAAGTCTGCCCTTGGGTATTGCACTCCATCATAACTATTCAATAAAATTGACCAACTCAGACTAATAGCTCTAGAATTTCAGATGGGCAGATTTGCAGACTAAACTAAGTATTTTATTAATAAACAAGTATATAAACCATTGAGCCCATATTTCATGCAATTGTTAATATGTTTTAAATATACCAAAGGCCACTTCATTTTATTCAATAGTAGATGTAAATATTATTTTCGGTTAAAAGTATCAATAACATGTGCTCAAAATTTCCTATGACTTTGTAAGTCTGTACTCAATAGAATTTGTTGGAATACAGAATCAGTTTTGCCTTGGATGCATCGACTGCTCTATGTTCGCAATGAAAAATATTATAATATTATTATATTATATTTAAAAAGTTATTGTTAATAGTTTTATTGTTTATTTTTTTACTCAAAATTGTTCAATAATAAAATTATGACGTATTTTAACATTTTACAATCCTGTTTAAATACATCAACTTTTGATAAAACTTGCCAATACATTTAAATACATTTTTTTAAATAGAGAGCCGCTCAAAGTCGACCGATTTTTAAAAAAATCAATTCATATTACAACAAAATGTCCTAATTCTTGAAAACTCTGGGTATATGTGCTTTTTTTTACAGTTTTAAAGTTTAAATGAACAAAATGAATAGAAGTTAACCACAATAACCGTAAAACACTTATAACTTTAGCAAAGCTATAGGTTGCACATAAAGGCTCATAATTTCCAAACAACGTGACATTGTTAAACTATTTTATTAAGTCATATAAGAAATATGGTCGGAATGACAAATAAATAACTAGGCATATTTTAGGCCCTGAATATGCATTGCTACTATAAATAATAACATATCAAAGAATATAACGCTGTTAATCATATGTTTAGTAACAATAATTATGTCCGAAATAAAGCATGTTCATTAGGGCGGGTCGATTTTAAGGTCACGTAGGCACATATGATTTTCGGACACAAGGGAACAAAATAAGATACTTTGCTGAAGAAACCATATCTCTAAAATTAATTCTGATGCCCCGTGCATTGACCCAAAGATAAGGGTTAATTTTTGAAAAACCACTCAGGGGTGGTCCCAGGGGGGTCCCAGGGGGTAAACCAGGGGCGTGGGTGAATCGGCATTCTAAAGTTAGTGAGGGTCGGTCATACATTTGGACCTGATTGGGGCACTCTAACTGGGTCAAAATAGAATTTTTCAAATTTTAACCCTTATTTTTGGGTCAATACAGGTGACATCAGAATTCATGTTAGAAGTATGGTTCCTTCAGCAAAGTGTCTTATTTTGATTACTAGTATCCGAAAATCATATGTGCCTGAGCGACTTTTTTGGCCCATACACATACAAATCGACCCGCTCTAATGTTCACTGTTAAAAGCAGTTTCTTATCGTTTATAATTTTTTTAATTCAAACAAATCGAACAGACTGGTGACTAAGAATTTGATTAAAATATTTTTAAAATATATTCCAGTTGTAGAAATAGATTTTTCGTTTGCAATCCTCCAGAATTTAATTAAAATATTTTTAAAATATGTTCCTATGAACTCAAAGGTTTATCAGCGATAAAGATACATTTATAAATTATAAGTTGGAGAATTAGAATTTCCGTATCTGTTTTTCCGTCCATATAGTTCAATTATGCCTAGCTCGAATCCGAACTGGATTGCGGTCTAACCGTCTTTCTTCCGCTGACAAACTCGCTATAGGTAATTCAGCAAGGCGACATGTTACGAATATGGACCGTGGTATATCGCACATGACAGTTTACTCTACATTTTTCATTACTTTATGAAGATATACCGGTTGTCAATAATTGCACGTGGAAATGAAACATTTCCGAAATGTCGGTAGTAATAATAAATGCTCCTAGGTGTTCAGTATCGTCGGGAGATTATTGTTTGGCAACAAGATGAAAATTGTTTTTATTCCATTGAATCTTTTTCCTTGGGTTTCTTAAAAGATTTAGGTTCGATACCCGTCTTGTACAGCCTGATATCAAGTAGTACTGACTAGCTTATCACTTGAAAATATAGAAGTAGTAATATGTTTCCAAGTAAAAATAGCTTCTACCCATTTTTGCGTCCTATAAAAAGTCATCAGTCGGAGTTAGGTCAACTGGTGTGTTGTCTTTTACAGCCATGTTAGCTATCGATGTACATATATGTATTGTAATGCTGGAACCACCAATGACACCCCTTTCTCCGTAGAAGGTCCACCGAGGATCCAGCAATTTGTAGGGATCTTTCTGCTGCTAACAAAGCTGTTACTAATCTGTGGAGGCTAATCAGTAAAACAGACGAAGACGTTTGATGTATTTGTTTATTTCATGATTTTTTGTAAACACTTTACATATAACTTGACTTAACTTAACTTGAATACGACTGAATATGATTAACTTAAATATGACTCCATTGATAACTGAAGTACAACTTATAGCTCATAATTGACTGAAGGCTGAGTACTGACTGACTGAAGTATATTCATCTGAACTTTATGAAAACTATATGACGACTGACTGAAGACTTCATATTGCAAGACTTTAAAATGCTCGCTTCAATGTGACATTGAAATTCTAGATAACATTATTTTACGACTTGTGTAATGTCATTGCATAGTGCAACATAATGCATTACTTAGTTGTTATTGAGTATTTTGTGGTTTGGAAAGGAATTTTATCGACGCTTGCTGTGCTTGTCAAGGATATCTCGAGCTTACAATGTTGCAAGTATGATTTACTAAGAAACTACGTTGTTTGTATTCTGACCATTATATAGTAGTTTATAATATTATTTATAATTATTGCGAATGGGTTCATACCCCTCACAGTCACAGTATATACAGAAATGGCGCAACACAATGGGAAAGCCTCTGATGACTGAAAAACATGTGCTTCTTTTCTGCTTGGGCACATGAAAATATTCACTTTTGAATGAAATGTCATTTTTACTGATGAAAGTTCTATATGAGCACGTACTGCCCTCATCGAGCTGTTAAATTAAAATACGAGCCGTCAGACTAGAATGATCCGTAAAATTAGTAAAAAGCAGGCGTCGGAGATGCCAGCCAATTGTCGACTCCGGTGGTGACTGGACACATATTGACCGAATTGCATCATTACCTGTAACGTACACAATGCATATATAAATATTAAAGTTTCATGAAATAATTATTTTTATAAATTAACACGGCCACGCTCTTACTTGACCGACTGTAGTTTTGTTTTGGATGCAGTAAGGCCTCGACTATCCAAATATTCGTATTCAAATTGTGAAGCGTTGTTATTACTTTGTGCATATATATGTTAATAATCACTATTATAAATAATTAGATTTTTTTGTATTTACATTTGTAAAAAATATGAGTAACACCAGTCATAAAATTAACATTTTATAGAATTATGAATCTGCATATCTATTTTATACAGTAATGATGAACCAAACTAAATAGTATAACACTGCAAAGTGATTTAGAACAACAAATCACTGCTTGCGACCTATAATTAACTATAATTAACATGAAATCGAAAATCACAACTATACATTCTTATTATTAATATATCTCTAATTATGTTGTAATTAACAAATGTGCAGACATATTGATTGAATTTTATGTATATCAATTGCTGGTAGAAAAAGCATTCTATTTCCAGAAATGTGACATTTATATTGAAAACGAATTAAAAGACGATTTATTAGAAACAATTGAGGAAGGGTTTAAAACTGATTTTTTATGGACATATTATATGTGTTTTAATATTAGTTTTGTTGTGCATTGAGATTATACTCAGCTAAGTCAATGATTTGCTTAATTCTTATTCACTTACCTTTATGTTCAAGCCATAATGGGTTATAATTAATAAACTATCAATGATTTGCTTAATTCTCATTCACTTACCTTTATGTTCAAGCCATAATGGGTTATAATTAATAGTTAGTATTATTAACTATCTTTAGCATTTAGCATAGAAGCAAGGCAATAATTTTCAGGATGTTTTCAAGTCAAAGTCGCTGCTGTTCGACATAATGTTGAACCAATAAATGGAGGAGTTAGAAGATGCATGTATATATTGTCGAATATTAATTATTTCTCTCTGGAGAACTTTTGTTATCAATGAAATATTTGTAGTACATATATTGCATTATAGAAAATCAACTATGTCTTTTATTAGCAATAAGAAGTACCACTTATTTTAAGTATCTCAAATTATGCTCAAAGTTCTTGTTATGTACATTATTGTTCATTATAGTTACATGCATTATAGTAGATTTTTTAAACTGATTTGAATATAGATAAATAATTATATACATGTTGTTCGGTCTGCAGGCGTTGAAACTAAGTTTGCGGGTTCCAGTTGCAATGACCTAGTGACATCGGATGGATCTGGGTCGACCATCATTAGTGGCCACTTCGACAAGAGGATCCGATTCTGGGACACGAGGACCGACTGCGCGGCCAACGATATTTTACTTCAAGGCAAAGTTACATCACTCGATTTATCGAGAGGTAGTATTTCATAATTATTTGAAACTATAAAAGAAAATTTTTAACGCATTTTCCTATAATAGACTGTTTTCAATTATTTCATTGTAGTATACTCGTGATAATATTTAAATTAACATACAGTTAATTTTGAGTCGAGCACTATTTTATGGATTTAGAGGCCACTTCAAAATAGACTTGTTATGGTAATGTTGTGTTACGGGTCTATCTTCGCATGAGTTGGTAGTTGCGAACTGTCGAAAAGCTATGATTTGCCTGCGATCAGGTTTTTACACCTAAAACCTAATTTTACGTAT